CCCATGGTGGTATATCTTGATGAATAATATATGTTTTTATGTAATTATAACTTTACATAGCAGTATACTCAACAATAAAGCACATTTCATCTTGCAATGTATCAGTTTTCCTGGGCAATAAGAATAGATTCCCCTTTGAGTGGGCTGTCTATTCTCAATATAAATCTGAAAAGTAAAATTCTAGTTACAGCACAGGACACCCAGTTAAATTCAAATTTCAGGTAGTCAATGATTTTTTAAAAATGCATTTTACTGATTTCAGAGAGAAAGGGAGAGGTAGAGAGATAGAAGCATCAATAATGATAGAGAATCATTCATCGGCTTCCTTCTGCACACCCCACACTGGGAGCTGAGCCTGCAACCCATACATATGTCCTGATGGGAAATCAAACCATGACCTCTTGGTTCATAGTTTGGCACTCAACCACTCACTGAGCCATACCAGCTGGGAAATTGATGATTTTTTTTTAAAAGAGTAAGGATGCCCTTATAATATTTGTAAAATACTTATGCAAAAAACATATTAACCATTTATATGAAATATAAATTTAATGGAACATTTTTATTTTCAAAATCTGACAGCTCTAATCCTAATCCCCAGCTACCTTCAATGGGTAAAAACAATCAGACTTGAAAATCTCCTAATTCATAGGACAGTTTTGGTTTTTATTAAATTTTAATTCTTTATCTTATACATTTTTGTTGTTTTTGTATAATAAATATATTCTCCCACATTATAAGTTTTCTTTCATTTATTTTAAATTATAGTTTGATGACCAATATTTTAAATTTAAATATAGTCAAGTTTTATTCATAGTTTTATTATACTTAATAACTATTAGTGTCCTGTCCTTCCATTTCCAAAATTATAAAAAACTAGAGGCCTACTGCATAGAATTTGTGCATGGGGTGGGGGTGTCCCTCAGCCCAGCCTGCACCCTCTCCAATCTGGGACCCCTCGAGGGATGTTAAACTGCCCATTTAGACCCAATTCCACTACCTGCCTGCCTGCCATCCTGATTGCCCCTAACCACTTCTGCCCACCAGCCTGATCACCCCCTAACCATTCCCATGCCAGCCTGATTGATGTCTAACTGCTCCCCTGCCAGCCTGTTTGCCTCCAACTTCCCTCCTCTGCTGGCCTGGCCACTCCTAACTGCCCTCCCCTACAGGGTTGATCACCTCCAGCTGCCCTCCCTTGCAGACCTGATCCCTCTCAACTGCCCTCCCTTGCAGGCCTGGTGCCTCCAAACTGCCCTCCCCTGCTGGCCATCTTGTGGGGCCATATTGTGTCCACATTGGAGCAGGATCTTTAACCACATGGGGGCAGCCATCTTGTATGTTGGAGTGATGGTCAAATCTGCATATTACTGTTTTATTAGATAGGATAGAGACCTAGTGAATGGGTGGAGACCGGCTGGTTTGCCCTGAAGGGTGTCCTGGATCAGGGTAGAGATTTCCTTGGGATATGGAGTGGCCTGGGCAAGGGGCCTGTGGTGGTTTGCAGCTGGCCAAGCCCCCTGGCGACCCAAGTAGAGGCCCTGGTATCTGGAATTTATTTACCTTCTACAATTGAAACTTCATAGCCTGGAGCAGAGCCAAGCCTCCTCCTTGCTCAGTGGCTGGCAGCATTTCTGTTTGGTTTCATATACCTTCTATAATTGAAACTTTGTATCCTTGAGTGGAGGCCTATGCCAGCCAGGGCAGGTGGAAAGCTTTGCTTCCTCCGTTGCTGGGGGCAATGCTAGTCTGCTCTCTCTAGCTCTATGGCTTCCTCTATTGAAACCCAAGCCTCCCAAATGCTCTCTGTGGCTGCGGCCATCTTGGTTGGGGTTAATTTGCATGCTCTTTCTGATTGGATGGTGGGCGTGGCTGGAGCATAGTTGGTGGGTGTGGCTTAAACAGAGTGATGGTTAATTTGCATATTACTCTTTTATTAGGTAGAATATGAACACATTTTTTAGAAATAAGTATAAATTTTATTTTTTAAAGATTTAAGTCATACTCCAGAGGGCACCTATTTCTATATAGAGTGAGGGATAGAAATCTAATTTCATATTTTACATAAAATAATAATTTTTCTTAGTTCACCTCGCCACTGGAGTGACATGTCACTTCTATCATAGGCTATGGATCCATATATACACTAGCATGATTTTAAACTCTGTATTTCACGTAGGTGAGTTCTCACATAGAGAACTCTCATGCTCCCATACAAAGCAATAACTGAGATGTATGCACTGTGGGGGAAAAAGACTTCGCTCATAATTCCCCAACATAAAATAAACATTTATTCAAGACTCACATTGTAGCAGGTGGTAGGAAATGTTTCATTACACAAAGTAGTAAATTCAGTGGGACTTGGATTAAGACATTATATATATATATATATACCGTGTTTCCCCCAAAATAAGACATCCTCCGAAAATAAGACCTAGCGCATGGAAAGATAAGACATCCCCTGAAAATAAGACTTTGGGAGAAAAAATTAATATAAGACACTGTCTTATTTTTGGGGAAACAGGGTACATATATGATTTAAAACTACTTTGTTAAAATATAGTCATTTGGTCATATAATTATAAATAGCAGAAATGGACAAAATTATACCATTTCTAATAATACCTGTTCTCTATAGCTAGTGTGTCCATTAGCAGTCCACAGCAGCACTGTAATCATTGGATTTGGAGTGAGGAGAAAGCCACTAGAAATATAAATTATAAAATGTTTTATTGCTTCAATTTTGAGGAAAAAGCAGACCTCAGTAGGCCAAAAAATAATTATTCAAACAGCCAGATGTTAGAGGTCAACATGAAAGGAGGTGTTAGGAGGTCTGTCAGTGAAATGTTTAATATGAATATGGAAAAATACCCACTAGGAAAAGTGCAGAAAAAATTCAGCTTTTTATAATTTAGTGCACATGCCCCCACATTTCTGTTGATGAGGGTTGGTTTCTGAGAGCAGTAGATTCCTCATTTTCTGATCCTTCAATGACCCATATCTGATGATGAAGATTAAGCAACTCATAGCAAAGTAAGCCATAATGGAGGAGAGGAGCCAGAATACTGATCTTTTTTTATAAAGCAATGTTAGAAATGCAGTACTTACCATGTCCCTTAAAAATAAGAAACTACAATATACTAACAAGTAAAAACTATTGTGGAAGGAATAAAAAATAGCACAAAATGATCCAACAGTGGCATGAAGGAGATTAAGCTATCATGGTGTGTATGATGCTTGATGGAGAACATAATTGTTTACTTCTAGTGTAAAAAGCCCAGAAATAATTCACAGATGTCTTGCATTATTAACCCTTGCATCATTAATTTTAAATTTGGCTCTGTTTCAAGTAAAACTAATTCTTCCAAACAAATATGTGCATATTGAATGTGCAGATTATAGACTTCCCTCAACTCCCCCCCCCCCCCAAAAAAAAGAACAATGAGCCACTGAGCACTAACCTTAGATTTTTATTTATTTCAACTGCTTCAGGATCACTTTTATTGGAGGTTAATATTGAGGCAAGGAAGAGCTGAATGAAATTCATCAATCTTTATGAGCACCAATTATACCTTAACAATACCGTAACAAAGTGAAGAGACAACTCAAAGAATGTGAAAAAATATATGCAATCATATATGATAAGAGACATATCTAGAATATATAAGAACACAATTTAATAATAAAAATAATTCCATTTAAAAATAAAGAATTTGAATAAACATGTCTCCAAATAATATATATAATTAGCCAATATGCACCTGAAAATTTCTTAACATCATTAGTCATTAGCTGCACACTTGTTATAGGGTAGTTATAATAAAGAAGACAGATCATAAGTGTTGGTAAGAATGAGGGAAATTTGAACCTTCATGCCCTGCTGATGGGAATGTAAAATGGAGGAGACACTTAGCAGTTTCCCAAAGCTTAAACAATTATCATTTGACCCAAGATAAATGGAAACCTACATCCATACAAACACTGTACACCAAGATTCATGGCAGCATCATTCAAAATAGATAAAAATGGAAACAATCAAAATGCAAATCAACTGATGATTGGATAAAGTGTTGTACATCTATGCAATGGAATGTTATTCAGCAATACAAAGAAAGAAAGTATGCTGAAACCGGTTTGGCTCAGTGGATAGAGCATCAGCCTGTGGACTGAAAGGTCCCAGGTTTGATTTCGGTCAAGGGCATGTACACCGGTTGTGGGCACATCCCAGTGGGGGGTGTACAGGAGGCAGCTGGTCAATGTTTCTCTCATCATCGATGTTTCTAGTTCTCTATCTCTCTCCCTTCCTCTCTGATATATATACATATATATAATATATAATATTATATATTATATTATAATATATTATAATATATTATATATTATATATTATATATTATATATTATATATTATATATTATATATTATATATTATATATTATATATTATATATTATATATTATATATTATATTATAATATATTATAATATATTATATATTATATATTATATTATAATATATTATAATATATTATATATAATATATTATATATTATATATTATATATTATATATTATATATTATATATTATATATTATATTATAATATATTATAATATAATATATAATATATTATATATTATATATTATATATTATATATTATATTATAATATATTATAATATATTATATATTATATATTATATATTATATATTATATATTATATATTATATATTATATATTATATATTATATATTATATATATATATATATATATATATAAGTATGGCACATTCTACAGTATAGATAAACCTAGAAAACATACTGAAAAAGCTAGTGATGAAATATCATGTATTATAAAGTTCCATCTATAAGAAAGTTCCAAAATAAACAAATTTATAGAGACAGAAAGTGGATTAGTGGTGGGGTTGGGAGAAATTCCGGAGTGACGTGTAATGGGAAGAGGGCATTTTGTGATGGGGATGGTGATGAAAATGTTTTAAAAATGATTTTGGGGCGGCGCGGAGTGGGGCCAGCTGCGGTGGCGGGCGGCGGGGAGACCGGGGAGCCGGGCTTGCAGCGCGGAGCGGCCGCCCAGGCCAAGGCCAGCGATTCTCGGCCTGGCCTAGGAGATGATGGGCCTGGGAAACGGGCGTCGGACCATGAAGTCGCGCCCTTCGTGCTGGCTGCCCTGGTGGCCTGCATCATCGTCCTGGGCTTCAACTACGGGATGGCGAACTCCCGCGGCGTGGACCTCCAGACGCGGATCCTGGAGCTGGAAGGCAGGGTGCACAGGGCGGCCGCCGATGGGCACGGTGGAGCTGAAGGAGGAGTTCCAGGGGGAGCTGGGGAACAGCCGGACAAGATCCAGTCCAGCCACAACTTCCAGGTGGAGAGCGTCAACAAGCTGCACCAGGATGAAAAGGCGGTTTTGGTGAATAATATCACCGCGGGCGAGAAGCTCACCAGAACCCTGCAAGACCAGCTGAAGGCCCTGCAGAACTACGGCAGGTGCAGCAGCGTCCTCCAGTTCCAGAAGAGCCAGACCAACCTGGAGAGAAAGTTCTCCTACGACCTGAGCCAGTGCATCCATCAGATGAAGGAGGTGAAGGAGCAGTGTGAGGAGCAGATAGGAGAAGTCACCAAGAAGGGGAACGAGGCTATGGCTTCCAGAGACCCGAGTGAACACAAGGAACCAAGCCAGCAGCTCCGAGCTCCCAGCGAGCCTCAGCCAAGGCTGCAGGAAACAGGCCTGCCCCCGGCAGAGGTGCCACAAAGGAATATGCCCAGTAACAACGAACCCCAGACGCCAGTCCCCGGTTCTGAGGCAGCTTTGGATTTGAGGAGGGAGGGTGAGAAAGAGGAAACCAATGACATCCAGGTCCTCAGCGAGGAGGCGCTTCGGAGGGACGGCCAGGCCCTGCTACAGGAGCCAGACCACAAGCAGCAGGCTGTGGAGGCAGACAGACATGCGGATGGAAGAGGCATGGGAGATGCTGAAGACCTCGGCCAAACCCAACGAGTGCCAGCCATCCTGCTGATGAGCCAGGAAGACCAGGAGGTGGAGGAGCCTGAGCAAGACCAGCTTGTGGTGCGGGATGGACAGGGGGAGGAGCCGGATGCTGAGGAGGAAGGGAGAAAGGAGCAAAAAGTGGGAGGAGATGAAGACTACAATAAGGATGAAAATGAGGCAGAATCTGAAACAGACAAGCAGGCAGCCCTTGCAGGGAATGACAGGAACGTAAATGTTCTTAATGCAGAAAATCAGAAAAGAGAAGATAAATTTACTTGATCAGCATGAAAAGAGGAAACCCATCAAACTAGAATAACTTTTTCATGTCAGGACTGAACAGCGATAACTACAAAATAGTCTCGAGGGATTGAATACTGTGAAATTTACTAAGTAACATATACACTTAAAAGATGATTATTGTGGACTTTTAGTTTGTCAGTGGGGGTTACTTTTGAAGAATCTGTATTAAAGATGTTTAATGTGTTGGCTAAAAAAATGATTTTGGTAATGATTATACAACTCTATGGGTATATAAAAAAATAATGAATTTATGCTTTAAATGGGTGAATTGCATAGGATGTGCATTTTATTTCAATAAATAAATTCTAAAAAAAAAAAACAGTAGGATCTCTATAAGCCTATTATCAGGGACAGGGCTCTGAGAAGCAGGAGTCAGGTCCATCAGCTGGAGAAAAGGACCCCATTCAATGGCAGCAGGTATGAGTGGGCTGGGATCATGCTGAGAACTCTCCCAATTTTTTCAGGCAATGTCTCCTGGCACAGGGCATTGCCTGAAGGACAAGCTAGATCCATGGGAGCCTGTCAGGATTGAGTATGGCAAATTGTTGAAAGCTGCCCATGGCCTTCACTAGCAGAAAGAGGTGGACAAGGAACCGGAATGCTGGTCAACCTTGAGGCTCTGGCAAAAGTTAGAGCCAGCCACCCACTGTCAGGTGGAGACAATGGGAGCTGAAGCAACTTCCACAGTTTAGTCTCATGTAAATCCTTACTGATAAGATAGCTTGCCTGTTACTGGAAATTGCCTGTCCGAGGGCTGTAGGCAGATCCCAAACCTGAATAAAAGGGATCCCCAAGACTACAATAAAGCTTAGTCCTCTCTTGGGCTTCCACCTGGCCCCCAATTCCCAAATTAATATTTTCTTGGCTAGTCTCTTTCATTTGTGTGCAGCCTCCTCCAGAACCTGATCCCTGAACCATGGGGGATGTGAGGGGTACACTCGGAACTGGCGTCCAATGTGGGGGGATCATACTGCAAATGAGTCAAGATGGGTTTTGGCCAGTATGAAGAGAAAGTTCTGAATCATCATTATCCTAAGTTAAAAGCACACACAAAAAATTCGCAACTAAAACAGCCCAAATAAAGACTCTGAAGAGTGAAGTCAGGTAAAATAGGAGAATTCAGGGAGGAAGAGAGGCCAAGGAATAAGGATCCCCTGACATGGGGGTTTTGGCAACAGGAGTTTAGCATGAAGTGCATTTGTGGCTTTGGTACTGGATTGGGAGCAAATTGCTTACATAAGATATTGAAAAGTCAAAAGTTCATAGACTGCAAGGAATAACAGGGAAATCCGCAGTAAGTGCAGAATCAGTATACTGGTTTGTCCAAGATCAAGACAAAGCAATAACTAGACATAGAAAGACAAAGCAAGGCCAAGGCCAGTCTGCAAATCAATGCACCTTACCAATAGCAAACAGACCCCTCAAACTCTGGTAGCCGGTGGTCTCAGAGCTGGGAGCCCTAGAGGCAAACCTACAAGCCTGACCTGTATGACTGCAGCTGCTGATAATGGAGAGAATGGGCTGGGTATTAGTCAGGGCCTGGAAGCAGCACACTTTCTGTGATCAGGCAGCAGCATTTCCATGACCACGGTCAATACGAATTTCCATAGTTAACTCTGCTCTCAGATATTTTCCCTCTGTTCGATACTTGGCAGTAACAAAAAAGTCTTCACTGTAGCAAAACAAACAGGCAGTTAGAATGCTAACTATGCTCCTCAAGCAAAAATATTTCATTTGCTGAAGGTTTATTACTTTAAATGGGTTTATTCTGCTAGGGTAATAGCAATTTTCACAAGACCTGTAACAACTCAAACTGATTTTGTCTGGGTTTATTGATTAATTCATTAAAAAAAAAAAAAAAGATTTGGGGCACGGTGTTTTATTTCTGATATGTTTCACATAACGTTAAAAAATGCCACCGTGATTAAATGTTCTTGATGGATTAAATTATTCTTAAAATGGTTGTATGAACTGACATATTTTGTCCTTCACTGTTTTTAAATGAATTTACAGGATGAGTGACAAAAAAGAAACAAACTAGAACTTTAAATAAATGAAAATGTGTATTTGCCGATCAGTTATCTCAATGATTATGAGTATTTCTGTATCAGAGCTTAGTATTATAATGTTTGTCTCTTTCCCTTTACTAACAATAACTTTCCTTGTATTAGCTAACTGCTACTTTAGATATAAGGATAAGGGATAAGGAAAGGAGGATAAAAGAATGAAGCAACAGATGAATTAAGTCAATCTCTCATATAGTTTTTTTTTATTTCTTTATTGGTTAAGGTGTTACATAAGTGTCCTTATTCCCCTATTAACCCCCCATCCCCTCACCAATGCCCCCACCCCCCTGTTGTCTGTGTCCCCTGATTATATGCATGCATACAAGTCCTTTGGTTGATCGTTCCCCCTTACCCCCACCCTCCCCTACCTTCCTTCTGAGGTTTAATGGTCTGATCGATGCTTCTCTGCCTCTGGATCTGTTTTTGTTCATCAGTTTATGTTGTTCATTACATTCCATAAATGAGTGAGGTCATGTGATAGCTCTTTCTCTGACTGGCTTATTTCACTTAGCATTATGCTCTCCAGTACCATCCATGCTGTTGCAAATGATAAGAATTCATTCTTTTTTACAGCAGCATAGCATTCCATTGTGTAGATGTAGTTTTTTTGTTTTGTTTTGTTTTGTTTTTTTTAATTCACTCATCTATTTATGGGCACTTAGGCTGTTTCCAAATCTTAGCTATGGTGAATTCTGTTGCTAGGAACATAGGGGTGCATATATCCTTTCTGATTAATCTTTCTAGTTTCTTGGGATATATTCCTAGAAGTGAAATCACTGGATCAAATGGGAGTTACATTTTTAGTATTTTGAGGAAACTCCATACTGTTCTCCACAGTAGCTGCATCAGTCTGCATTGCCAGCAGCAGTGCAAGAGGGTTCCTTTTTCTCTGCATCCCCATCAGCACTTGTCGTTTGTTGATTTGTCGATGATAGCCATTCTGACAGGTGTGAGATGTTACTTCACTGTGGTTTTGATTTGCATCACTCAGATGATTAGTGAGTTTCAGCATGTTTTCATATGCCTCTTAGCCTTTCTTCTGTTTTCTTTTGAAAAATATCTATTTAGGTCTGTTGCCCATTTTTTGATTGGGTTGTTTATTTTCCTTTTGTTAAGTTGTTAGGGTTCCCTGTAAATGTTGGAGATTAAACACTTATCAGTGATAACATTGTTCCGAATTTACCTTAAACATGGAAAGCCACATTGCAATGAAATTCAACTTTAAAAGAAACTTCGTATTTACTATTACCAACCTAAGAGCTTACAAATGTTGTAACTATGCAGGAAATGCATATTTACAACAGTTGTCACTACCAAAAATGTTCTGATGTTTTCTAAACATAATTGCAAGCAGTTTAGGGACTGTCTAATAGCTCATTGATAAAAAGCCTGGCTATTTCCCTCGGACTCACAGAATAACTAAGCATTATAAGCCCCTGAGTAACTGTCTACCATTTTAAGGAATCTGCCCCAATTAAGCAACTTCATTAAAAATACATTTACTAATAGGAAATGTGAGCTATTTCTGTATTCTTTTTTTTTTTAATATATTTTATTGACTTTGTACAGAGAGGAAGGGAGAGAGATAGAGAGTTAGAAACATCGATGAGAGAGTCATCGATCAGCTGCCTCTTGCACACCCCATCCTGGGGATATGCCTGCAACCAAGGTATATGCCCTTGACCAGAATCGAACCCAGAACCTTTCACTCCCCAAGCCGACACTCTATCCATTGAGTCAAACCAGTTTCGGCTATTTCTGTTTTCTTAAAGCAACCCACCAATGTGCTATTGAAGTCAGATCGTGTAGTTAAGATCTTCAACATAGATTTAAAAGAGGATTTTTCAGCTTCTATGTCAATCACCGATTTACCTTTATGAATCTCCATACCTGTAGTTTTTTATTTGTTTACTGGAATATAAATTTCAAGAGAAGAATATTGTAAACAGATTTTAAATAGGTATCCTGAAGGAAATAACTGCTTATTTAGTTGGGAAAACCAAACAAAAAACACAATACATTAAATAAAAATGAAGTGATGGGAAATAGTTTCTTACTGATAACACCTATAAATATAGGAAGCGAACCTAGAGAGAGGATGATCAAGCGAAAAATATTTCAAAAAAGCCAAAAAATAAAATAAAACAAAACAATAACAGCAAAGACTACAGCAATTTTGACCATTAATTGTAATTAAATTAATTACAATTGTAATTAAATCTAATTAATTGTAATTAAATCTAATAGGCAGGAAGAACTAACTGGTTATAGAAAATGACCAATGAATTTCTAGAAGTGTACTATAACCACACTCCCCTAACCAAGAATTCAGTAAGTGAAGTGAGCTTCACGCACAAAACCTGTGAGGCAATGCAGGTTGGAAGTTCAAGTCCCGTGGCCCTTGAACTTGGACATATCTTGAAAACACATATTTGAGCCCCATTCTTTTCTGATGTTTTATTTACAAGGTGGGTTCAAGTGTGTATTCACCAGGCTAGAGAAAAAATGATGATAAAGCATGCTTGCTCGTCTATTTAATTCCAGATAATTTCCTCCGTGTGGCTCTTTTTAATTGAAGATTATATATCAAGGTTGAATGTGTAATAAAGTTATTATATTCTTTCCATAGGAGGTTGTCCCATATCGCATCTTTAATATTTTAGTATTGTCAGCACAATAAATTTCCTATAAAATTAGGCTCTTAGCAACAGTCCATGAACCTATGTAAAGATAAATTTCAGTCAATTTAAGATAAATTTATCTCTTTATAAAAATAATACCTGGATTTTTCAACCTATGACCCTCAGTTCCAGCAGCATACGCTCCCTACAATTATTGTCATTATGGAGGATGGTTATGCCATAAATAACCTATGGCATCAATACTAGACAACAAATCACCTAAGTGGGACAA